AGCAAAGGCAAAGCACTATTGCTCAAAAATCAAAGAGTACAAGAATGACCCCAGAAAGCTCTGGCAACAACTAAAACAGTTGAAGTATAGCCATAAACCCGGAGATAGATCTAACATAGTACTAAATATCAATAACGAGGTATGCCACGAAACAACTAAAGTGGCAGATTGTTTTAATTCCTACTACACATCTGTTGCATCAACACTAGTAAGTAAACTACCAGCTGCATCAAATACCTTTAACACAGACTCTGATAAGTTTAAAACATACTATACCAATAAAGAGGTAACCCCAAACAGTTGTCATCTAGTAAGTGTATCTCATGACTTCGTGCAAAATGAACTAAGCAGGTTAAACCCAACTAAGAGCACCGGCCAGGATAACATCCCGTCTAAGTTCCTAAAATATAATGCCTCTGAATTGCCACTCCCCATTGCTTGCATAATAAATTTGTCCATCACTACTAATACCGTACCGGAGGGGTTCAAGGAGGCCAGAGTTATTCCTATCTTCAAGAAAAATAATAGGTCTGTTAGCAACATAGGCCTTTAGTATATTCATTGTAATATGCAAAATTCTAGAGAGGTACTTAAGTATCTTAATAACCACAACATTCTTCGTAGTTACCAATCAGGATTTAGGAGAACTTACTCATCCGACACCTCCCTAATTAATCTGATGGATTACATGAGAACTGAAATGTCGATAGGAAACCTCATAAGAATGGTAAGCTTAAGCTTCTAAAAGACCTTCGATACTGTCAGCCACAATATATTATTTAAGAACATAAGAACATAAGAACATAAGAATGTAGGAACACTGCAGAAGGCCTACTGGCCCATACGAGGCAGGTCCTTATCAAAACGATCTCTATCTAAAGCTACTCAAGAAACAACTCCCGCACCCCCCATCCTAACAACCCCCTCAACTGAGTTAGCAAGAAAACCCACCCCGCCCTGGATAAGTGAACCCCACCCTGGCATACATGTCATTTCGGCCATAAAGTTGTCCCAGTTGTCAATGAATGGTACTGCATTACCCTTTACATGGATCCACCAAAAAATTAATACCAATTCTCTGGACAACCATTCTTTCCCAAAACCCCTCTTCTTGGCAAAATCCCCACATATAACAGGGCGCCCCCCCTTCTTCCTAATCATGTCTATGCTGTCCTGAACTTTCTAACAAATCCTCACTTCTCGCTTGCCTACATCATTGCCTCCAGCCTAGGAAAAAAAAAGGGATTGACCCCCATTACCGTTCTTGATTTTGTCAAGCCGGCTAACATGTCCCCACCCCACCCCGGAAAGAAACCCCCTTTTGTCTCCTACCCTGCCCTTTAAAAGCAGAATGCCCTATCCAGTATCTAACCGGCTATCCCAACAACAACAAATTTTACTTCCTTGTCATTCTCGTGACGATCCCAGTAGAACTCCCTTTTGGGTCACCGAGATTCGTTGGAGGGTTTCCACGGGAGTTTCCCCAAACATCTCTTTCTTCTTCATCGTTTTGGGGTTTCCATTCGCTTCTTGATCGTCAACTCGTCGTCCCCTGCTGTCCAGCCATGACCCGATCCCTTCTTTTCCTAGACTCGAACAGGAGGGTACTACGAAACCCTTTTTTCCCGGAACGCGTATCTCCACTTCGCTGCCCTCAATTCTTTCCCTTAAATTGCGGAAATTGCTCGAGGAGGGGATCTGGTTCATCCACGGGACAAACAAGACACTTTTAAGTACGGGCACACTCAAGAGACAAACAGGGGCTTCCAGAGCTAAATACACGTCACCACTGGGAAAAATAAGTACACTCACCACTGGAGCTAAGTACACGTCACCCATCGGATAGGTTCCGTAACTGGTTTAAGTCCTATTTTTTAAAAGAGAAAAAAAAATTGTCAAAAACAACAAAACAGAATCAGAAACCCCGATAGGTGGCTTCCTAAGGTAGTATTCTCGTCCCTTATATTTCTATTAGTAAAAAGACATGCCATTATGTCAAGTGCAAACTCCCACTTATCAGATACGTGATCGTTATGTCAGGGAGACCCACAAATATAGCTAATGGATAACACTGAAAATGGAGTCCTGTACAAATGTTTGTAGACAACAACGTATCGTTGGACCTCAGGGAAACGGAAGCCATACTTTTTGGCACGAAACAAACTGAGAAGGGAAAATAATTTTAATGTCTGGTGTAATGGGGAACCCATCACTTCAGTTTCCTCAGTAAAATATCTGGGAATCCCCTTTGACCCATGCATGTCAGGAGAACTGATCGGGAACAGTGTAGTAAAGAAAGTGAATACCAGACTGAAGTTCCTCTATAGACAAGCACAGTGTCTACCTACTGAGGCTCACAGGACCCTATGTCTAGCCCTTATACAATGTAATATGGACTACGCTTGCTCTTCATGGTACTTTGCCTTGACAAAAAAAAAAAAAAAAGAAAAAGGACTTCAAATCACCCAGAAGAAAATGGTAAGATTCATCCTGGACCTGAGCCCAAGAGAACATGTAGACCAGGATGAACTACAACAACTGGATATGCAGAATGTTGAAGACAGAGTAAAACAACTGAAGTTAAATCAAGTTTATAAAATTGCTCACAAACAGTGTCCAGAATATCTTGCTGTCAATTTTGTCAAGGTTGGGAGCCAAAGCAATCATAGTACTAGGGGGAGAGAGCACAACTTTGTAGTACCCACAGTCAGTGGCCAGGCTTCAAACACCTTTTATTGTACAGCAATAAAGGAATGGAACAGACTACCCGCACATGTCAAAGCCAGTCATAGCATGAACCAGTTCAAGAAGAGTGCCAAAAGGTACCTAATGAATGTAGTGACAAAGGCAGGAAAATTATTTTTTATTTTTTTTTAGCTAACACACATGTAAGTATAAATAACTCATTTTACCTTATTCCTAGTATATCTCCTTTACAGTATAGTAAGACAGGGTCCCACATCAGAGACTATTGAGGAAAATTAAGGCACATGGAATAGGAGGAGAAATTTTTTCCTGGATAGAGGCTTGGTTGACAAATAGGCAGCAGAGAGTTTGCATAAATGGGGAGAAATCAGAGTGGGGAAGCGTCACGAGCGGTGTTCCACAGGGGTCAGTGTTGGGCCCCCTGCTGTTCACAATCTACATAAACGACATAGATGAGGGCATAAAGAGCGACATCGGCAAGTTTGCCGATGACACCAAAATAGGCCGTCGAATTCATTCTGACGAGGACATTCGAGCACTCCAGGAAGATTTGAATAGACTAATACAGTGGTCGGAGAAGTGGCAGATGCAGTTTAATATAGACAAATGCAAAGTTCTAAATGTTGGACAGGACAATAACCATGCCACATATAAACTAAATAATGTAGATCTTAATATTACGGATTGCGAAAAAGATTTAGGAGTTCTGGTTAGCAGTAATCTGAAACCAAGACAACAGTGCATAAGTGTTCGCAATAAAGCTAATAGAATCCTTGGCTTCATATCAAGAAGCATAAATAATAGGAGTCCTCAGGTTGTTCTTCAACTCTATACATCCTTGGTTAGGCCTCATTTAGATTATGCTGCACAGTTTTGGTCACCGTATTACAGAATGGATATAAATTCTCTGGAAAATGTACAAAGGAGGATGACAAAGTTGATCCCATGTATCAGAAACCTTCCCTATGAGGATAGACTAAGGGCCCTGAATCTGCACTCTCTAGAAAGACGTAGAATTAAGGGGGATATGATTGAGGTGTATAAATGGAAGACAGGAATATTATTATTATTATTACAATCAAGGGGGAAGCGCTAAACCCGGAGGATTATACAGCGCCTGGGGGGGGGATGTGGAAGGCATTCAGGCTTAATTTGGGGAACTGGAGCACAGATCCAATTCCCTAAATCAAGAGCCCCTCACCAACATCAAGGAACCTTCCTTGAGGGGAAGACAGGAATAAATAAAGGGGATGTAAATAGTGTACTGAAAATATCTAGCCTAGACAGGACTCGCAGCAATGGTTTTAAGTTAGAAAAATTCAGATTCAGGAAGGATATAGGAAAGTACTGGTTTGGTAATAGAGTTGTGGATGAGTGGAACAAACTCCCAAGTACAGTTATAGAGGCCAGAACGTTGTGTAGCTTTAAAAATAGGTTGGATAAATACATGAGTGGGTGTGGGTGGGTGTGAGTTGGACCTGATAGCTTGTGCTACCAGGTCGGTTGCCGTGTTCCTCCCTTAAGTCAATGTGACCTGACCTGACTAGGTTGGGTGCATTGGCTTAAGCCGGTAGGAGACTTGGACCTGCCTCGCATGGGCCAGTAGGCCTGCTGCAGTGTTCCTTCGTTCTTATTATCTCCTTTACAGTATAATAATAATAAAGTCACTGACTTTTTTGGGTTATCCCAGGTTCTCTACACATATTCTGCTATGTATGATAATTTATGTAACTGTATTTGTGTATACCTGAATAAACTTACTACACAAATAACCCGCATATAGGAGAGAGAAGCTTACGACAACGTTTCGGTCCAATATGGATCATCTAAAAGTCACACTGTGACTTGTAAAATGGTCGAAGTCGGACCGAAACGTCTTCGTAAGTTTGTCTCTTATGTGCGGGTTATTTGTGTATTGTTCCAGTAACGGTATTGTGCCTTTTTGTTGTCTACAGTTAAATACCAGTATATTGTCTAATTTGTTCACTCTTCATTCTCAACATGATATTCACTCGAAACATAGATTTCAGAAACGTTCATTCTGAAGCCTCTGTTTCAGTATTCAAAGCCGAGTCTTCCCTTGCTTTACACTCACCGAAAACTGCTTTCCTAAACCGCTATTACTAAACCCCAATTACTAATGCGGTTTATCATTAAATACCTAAACATTGTAATTTCCCTTTACTAAGAGTAGTTCAACATTAACATGGATTCTTTTATTTATTATAGTTATTGATCAAGTTTTCTATACATGGGAATACTCTCACCAATAACGTTACTCTTGTGTTTTTCAGGAGAAGCAGCTGCAGCAGTAAGGCAGTGTAGGAGAAGTAACATTGGCACAGGGTGGCACCACCTTGACGAGTAGCACTTTAGTCTTACAACACATGGAGAAGTGGCACTTTCAGTGTCCTACACAACCTTGATATATATAATACTTCGTAAGCCCTGATCTACTTCAAAGATGCCTTTTCAAAGCTCTACACTTCCCCGATGAGTGGCACTCTCTGAGTCCTGCTGTACCTTGATGAGTGGCACTTTCCGAGTCCTGCCGCACCTTGATAAGTGGCACTTTGAAAGACCTGCACTACCTTGTTAAGTGGCATATTTTTTAAGTGCTTCACGACATTAATAAGCCGCCTATTGCAATATCCAGCATTACTGAAACTCACCACTTACGTGATTCTCTGACGGAATCTATATTAAATATTCTCTGGCTACCAAAAAAAAAAAATCTTCGTTTCGAGTTTTTACTGAAGGACTGTATACGAACAATTTTTAATAATACCACCTGAAATTTATTTATAAAATGATTCACTTTTGGCTACAAAGATGATAATTAATGGTATAAGTCAGTATCTTATATTCTGGTAGTTGTTAAGTAGATCTGTTTGAAAATGTGGATTTTAAAGATAAATGTGTGTTGTCAAATAGATATTAAAAAAATAGTCTGTGGGGAGAAAGTGAAAGAAAGTGAATGCTGAAAGTGAAGAACTAACCACTAGAGTCATGGAGAACACTGAAGCTTGTCTCATCTGTAGTCACCTTTCCCGCGCATAATGTCGGGCAGCCGGTGGTGGTGGAGCTGCCTGTTACATAGCGCCGGGGCCTGCAAGGTACCCAGGAAGCAAGAGGAACCCTCCTCTCTCCCCCTCTCCCTGCCTCCACCCCTCACAACTACCATGACCGAGAAAGAGAGCTATGAACCTTCCAAAAGACAGTTCGAACCTCCTATTCTAATCCAGTGAAGACGACATGCCGCTGAAATCTGCAGTCGAGGTGAGCAGTCATTTAATACAAATATGTACATGTCTTTCACATTTTATAACTCTTCCATCTTCCATAGCTTTATTCTCTAACCTGTTGTTGGTCAAATATGGTTTGCCTTGGCTTCAATAATGAGTTCCCATACCATGTTTATCAACGTCTCTCAAGAACAAGAAGGCACAATGTCGTGACTGGAACAATATACAAATATCACGCACATAGGAGAGAGGAGCTTACGACGACATGCGGGTTATTTGTGTAAATCGTCAGGAAATATTGTAGTGTGAAATACACACGTTGGATGTCTTGGAGGCGTATAATTAAGAGTCTTGAGGAGAAGCCCAGGCCTGCCTGTCGAGTCTATTATGCCTAACGTGGAAATAATGATGAACGCTGTGGCCTACGGCTCACATGTAATGGGTCTCGTGAGGTCACAGATAGAAGGGAGCCTATATATAAAGAAGCTGGAATTATCTAAGTATACTACACAAGTACACAGTAACACTACTGACATAAATCATTCTCGAGATTTTGCCAGAAGTACTTGTAACCAAGTCTAAGCCTGACTACTACAACATCAGTCAGTCTCTTCACATTGCAAGTTGCTCATTGAACGTACTTGCTCAAGTTCATGTTATCATAGCAGGTTATAGATCTATTCAGTCTTCTAACTGCATTCCTGTAATATTCAGTATTTACTTCTCTCCTAGTATTATTCCTAATGCTAGACACAAACACACTAAAGTTATGTTCTACATTTGCCTTTAGGGTATTTTTTTGGTTATATATCAACTTTATCATGAAAGAGTTATTCATTGTGTGATGGAATCCATAACAATTGTACGTTAATTCCCTCTTCCCGGATTTTTTAGTATCTATATCTAGCCTCTCCAATGAGCGTGTTGTTAAAGTGAGCCAAGAGCTTCAGTGATGGCATAAGAATCAGTAATAATCAGAGTCCAACAAACTCAGTGTCATAGTTGATTTTAGCACCATTAGGGTGGCAAACAATTAAGTTTGCATTGTAGACACCAAGTTGTTAATTCTTATGCCCATCGTTATTATCTAGGGAGGCAGCAACAAGAACAGATGCAGCCCTGCCAGTAGACTCCTGCTTAGATCCATCAGTCTATAACTTGTACATGTAGCCGGTGACGGACACACAATTAATCTGTGGCCAAGTAGCCATTGACTGACATCGTAAAATAATCCTTGGTCACTGGGCAGTGACTGACACTGTTAATAACACTGGATAACAAAAAAGGCACAATACCGGGACTGGAATTATCAACAATGGTTATAAATGACCATAATTTTTAAAGGGGTGGACCGTAAGCCAGCGGAAGGCCTCGGTCAGATTGACCAAAAGCTCCAAAGGCGGGTCATCATCTGACTAAACCCGCGTCAGGAAACATTTGTCCTGTTTCCTGACGAACCTTACCTAACCTAACCTAACCGTGACTGGAAACGATACACAAATAACCCGCACATAAAAGAGAGAAGCTTACGACGACGTTTCGGTCCGACTGGACCATTGACAAAGTCATACAGTGTGACTTTGTCAATGGTCCAAGTCGGACCGAAACGTCGTCGTAAGCTTCTCTCTTTTATGTGCGGGTTATTTGTGTAACACTGGATAACAGTAAATTTGCTACGTCTATAAATTAAAGCTTTTAATGTTATTTTTAACATGTTGAAACCTAATCTGAAGTCTATATTAGCCCATCATTTAAGATACCAGAAACCTGAGGTTGTACTTTACATATATAAACTTGAATACGCCTCTGAGGAAAGCCTTGCGGCTGTCTGCTTACATGCATAAAAACTGATCCTACGCATCTTGGCTGCTTGTCAGGAAGAGTCGGAGAGCACCATTTGTGCTCTAGCCGTCCCAGTGTTCAGACATGTTTACAGAAGGTTATCATTCACTGTGTACACTGGTGTTTAACTTGCTTAGATTACATTTTTCTAACACACACAACCATATTTACAATAATTTCGTTTGCTCTTTTACATGATACCTCTATTGCAGATTAACATGAACAGACGAGGATGCATGACCAATGCAGACAGCTTTTACTATGTATGTGATCAACATGATCAACGAAAAATCCTGTCAGTAGTGCATACAAGCACTGCTTGGATTGTTAGATAGCAGATCAGGACAAAACACGTTCTCCATACAATTGTTGTACTGTTTGTACCGCTGGACTGACACAGTGGATGTATGGGAGGCGTACATCAATGTTGCTGGAATCAATGAATAATTTTTCATTCATCAGAATGGTATTCATAGACCAGTTTCTTCATAAGATCATTCACACAAGAGCAGGAGCAAATGTCGTTCTCCATTTGATAGACTGTCGCTAAACTAGTATTGTATGCACGAAAATAAGATATTTTTGTTCATTCTGCTGAAAGTTTCCACTCTTGTCATAGTGATCCAAGAAGTTCTGCTTTAATATATCAACGTCCTCTAGAGTGATTAAATGGGGTTCTTTCAAAATCCCAGATTCTGGTGGTTCAAAAGGATCAATGTTAGTTTCTTCAATGACAGTGAAAAGTGAAAAGCCGTCTGTGCCAGTAACTCATGCTGTGAGATTGAAGGTAACATACGAGTGCGTGGGAATTCTACTAACAGAAAACAATGGCCACAAGTGGAATATATGTAGAGACCTAAAAATGATAGGGTTAATACTTGGTCTCCAACTTGGTTACACAGAATACATGTGATTCCTTTGTTTGTGGAATAGCTGTGACGATGCTAACCACTAGAAGATAAAGGAATGACAGGTAAGAAAAGACCTTATTCCAGGAAAACTCAACACACAACAGATACCACTGGTACATCCTCAAAGATATTTCTTCCACAACTGCATGTAAAGCTGGACCTAATGAGGAAGTTTATAAAGGCTATGGATGATGAAGGTGCAGGATTTCTATACATAAAGCACAAACCTGAGAAATTTTAACTGACGAAAAACTTATAACCAGAATATTTACTGGGCCACAAATACGTGAACTCTCATCCTAGTCTGTCTTCCAATCAGAAATGGCCCCACTGTAGCTGGCTACATGGAAAGTTTTCACACAGGTTATACAGAACTTCCTAGAAAGGCACAGAGTAGACAATTATGACAAGTTAGTGTATAAAATGATAAAACATCATAGTGCACTGTGTTGCCGTGTGTTGCTGTTCTCTTCATTCACACCTGGTCTTCTTTTCCATCAATGTTGGTGTTGATGGTGACGAGCATCGTGAAACCCTGTGCGTGCCTGGATATCGGTACAGTGGAGGTACATTATCAAGGGGGTTTCAGTCCCAACATGATGGTGCACTAATGTTAGTGTCTTCAGACACACTGTTAGTCCCATCATGATGTGGGACTACTGTTGGTTCCTTCAGAGACACGCTGTTAGTCCCTTCATGATGTGGGACTACTGTTGGTTCCTTCACAGACACACACTGTTAGTCCCAACATGATGTGGGACTACTGTTGGTTCCTTCAGAGACACACACTGTTAGTCCCAACATGATGTGGAACTACTGTTGGTTCCTTCAGAGACAACACATGTTAGTCCCAACATGAGTGGACTACTGTTGGTTCCTTCAGAGACACACACTGTTAGTCCCAACATGATGTGGAACTACTGTTGGTTCCTTCAGAGACACACACTGTTAGTCCCAACATGATGTGAGACTACTGTTGGTTCCTTCAGAGACACACACTGTTAGTCCCAACATGATGTGGAACTACTGTTGGTTCCTTCAGAGACACACACTGTTAGTCCCAACATGATGTGGGACTACTGTTGGTTCCTTCAGAGACACCACTGTTAGTCCCAACATGATGTGGGACTACTGTTGGTTCCTTCAGAGACACACACTGTTAGTCCCAACATGATGTGGGACTACTGTTGGTTCCTTCAGAGAGACACACTGTTAGTCCCAACATGATGTGGGACTACTGTTGGTTCCTTCAGAGAGAGACACTGTTAGTCCCAACATGATGTGGGACTACTGTTGGTTCCTTCAGAGAGACACACTGTTAGTCCCAACATGATGTGGGACTACTGTTGGTTCCTTCAGAGAGAGACACTGTTAGTCCCAACATGATGTGGAACTACTGTTGGTTCCTTCAGAGAGACACACTGTTAGTCCCAACATGATGTGGAACTACTGTTGGTTCCTTCAGAGAGACACACTGTTAGTCCCAACATGATGTGGAACTACTGTTGGTTCCTTCAGAGAGACACACTGTTAGTCCCAACATGATGTGGGACTACTGTTGGTTCCTTCAGAGACACACACTGTTAGTCCCAACATGATGTGGGAAACTACTGTTGGTTCCTTCAGAGACACACACTGTTAGTCCCAACATGATGTGGGACTACTGTTGGTTCCTTCAGAGACACACACTGTTAGTCCCAACATGATGTGGAACTACTGTTGGTTCCTTCAGAGAGACACACACTGTTAGTCCCAACATGATGTGGAACTACTGTTGGTTCCTTCAGAGAGACACACTGTTAGTCCCAACATGATGTGGAACTACTGTTGGTTCCTTCAGAGAGACACACTGTTAGTCCCAACATGATGTGGGACTACTGTTGGTTCCTTCAGAGACACACACTGTTAGTCCCAACATGATGTGGAACTACTGTTGGTTCCTTCAGAGACACACACTGTTAGTCCCAACATGATGTGGGACTACTGTTGGTTCCTTCAGAGAGACACACTGTTAGTCCCAACATGATGTGGGACTACTGTTGGTTCCTTCAGAGAGACACACTGTTAGTCCCAACATGATGTGGGACTACTGTTGGTTCCTTCAGAGAGACACACTGTTAGTCCCAACATGATATGGAACTACTGTTGGTTCCTTCAGAGAGACACACTGTTAGTCCCAACATGATGTGGGACTACTGTTGGTTCCTTCAGAGAGACACACTGTTAGTCCCAACATGATGTGGGACTACTGTTGGTTCCTTCAGAGACACACACTGTTAGT